ATTTGTAAATTTGCCCATATCACCAATCCCGGCCACAGGAGCATTGTTGTGTGTGCTTGGGGAAGCCAACCAAGCTTGGGAGAAAAATATTTTCGGGCGTAAACTGGGAGGCGCAGAAAACATTTTTCATGGTTACCAGCCCCACCCCGCGGGGCCCATGTCCCTTAAAAAGGGAATTCCGCCTTTGTTTTGGGGCGGGAGGTTTCCTTCCCCCCCTTCGCCCTTTTTTAGCCCCTTCTTTCAGGTTTCTCCCCCCCCCCCCCCCCCCTTACGGACCCACACCTAGACACTAGGATTAAGAGGTGTATTCTCTTGAAGGTGATTGTACCTAAGCTAGAGTATGCAGGAGAGATATGGGAAGGTAACGAAAAGGCCGTCTAGCAGCTGGAAACGGTGCAGATGGCAGCGGCCAAGAAAATACTAGGATGTTCAAGTACAACGAGCAACACTGTATTGAGAGCAGAATTGGGAATGTACTCTCTTAAAACAAAGAGAGACATGCAGAAGTTGAATTGGCAGTACAAGGTAAGTAGAATGTCGGACGATAGACTACCAGCCATGGTTGACAAGGCAGCTTGGGGAAAAGCGACTCCAGGGAAGAAGGGAATCAGATGGGACAAGGTGGTGAAGAAGGTTTGGAAGGAGATAGGAGACGAGGAGGAGACGTTGGACACGGAAGGGTTCGGGGGGTTCAAGACGAAAGTCAAGGAGATGCTAGAGAGTAGGGAGGAGGCAACCCTTCGGAAGAAGGTACGAAGCGAAGACCACTTGGAGATATACGGGAAGTTGAAAGAAGGGATAGGGATGAAGAAGTACTTGGACGGCCCCATGGACTATGCGAAAAAGCTGAAATTGCAATATCGAGTAGGCGATCTGGACTTGCCAGAACGGAGGAAGAGGTATACCAGCCGTAGGAGAGAGGAAGAGGAGGATAGACACACATGTCCATGTGGCAAATCGGAGGAGAGTAGACCCCACATAGTTGGGGAGTGTGAGTTGTACAGGAAGGAAAGAGAGGATCTCGAGGAGGAAATGAGACAGAGAGGGTGTGACATGGACAAGTTTGGTAAATTAGACAACAGCGAAAAAACGATCGCGATAATTGGGGATAGATGGTGGGCACAAGAGGCCCTAGAGGACGGGGATAAGATGTGCAAGAAATTTTTATGGAGTTTGTGGCAGAAACGTAAAGAGCTCCTGTTGGTGGTGTCTCTAGTAGGTGTAGGAACGGTGCTCCGTCTCGAAAGGGACGCGTGGTCAATGGTCAAATGACTACGGCAAGCAACAAATGAGTACGCCCCCCGCCCCCCGCCCCCCCCCCCCCTCACAATTTTCTCCCAGCCCTATTGATCTAACCCCGTTGAAACAAACCTGTGATGTGGCGCTGCTGCCTGTGCGTGCAAGGCTGCCTGGAGTGGGTCCCGACCCCCGACCCCCCGGATGAAACCCCCAAATTGCCCGGCCCCCTGCCCGAAAGGTTCTGGTCCCTCCGTCTCAGGGACATCAAGTACGGGTCGGAAAGCATGCTCCGGTGTGGAAAGAGGGGCGCGGCGGGTCGTCTCTGTCTGGCGGTTCCGCGAAAAGGGGGGGGGGGGGGGGGGGAAATTTCCCCCCCCCCCTCCCAAAGAACTTAAACCTTGTTTTTAGTTTTAAGTTTGGGCCACCGGGAAGTTTAAAAAACCCCCCCCCCATTTTCCACCCCAAAACCCCAAAAAAGGGGGCCCAATTTTTTGGGCCTTTCCCCCGGGCCCCCCCTTTTGGAAGGCGGGGGGCAACTAATTTCCCCCCCCAGGGGACCCCCGGGGGAAAAAAAAAAACCCACCCCCCGGAACCAATTTTCCCCCCCCCCCCACCCCCCCAAAAAAAAAAAAAAATTCCAAATCCAAAGGGGGGTTTTTCGAAAAATTTCCACAAAAAGGGTTAAAACCCCCCCCCCCTTTTCCTCCCCCCCCCCCCTTTTACCCCTTTGGGGAAAAAACCAAGTTTTGGAAACCCCCCCCGGGGGGGGGGATCCCTTCCCCCAACCCACTGCACCCCCAAGGAAAAAACCCCCTTTTTTTTTTTTTTCAGGG